AAGTAAATCGTCAATTTTAAATTTAGTTTGTTATCATTACGATATTATTTCGTTATATTCAAATGTCGTTCACAGTTATTGCCGGCCGAAATTTCCCGCCCTTACATGTTCTCTGTCTTTCTTTCTATGTATAACAACAAATCCAACCAATGAATAATCAAACAGTCTCCTTCTTTCCAATCGTTTCTTTCTTTTTCACGCATCACAATACCTAACTATGCGATTATCTCTGGCATGTCTGCATGTCTGCTGCTCATGTATCCCACGCATACTTGCATTATTCTTGTGACTTATCGCACGTATCTCTACATGGTTTCTATTGATTTATTGTGTATTCAAATGATAATCCTGGTATCGGCAATGTTGAGTATATATAGTTACGCTGAACGTTACGTGTATTCACAGATCACCTGGAACTTTCCTCAATCAAGTGTGTACTCCTTTCTCGTAACAAAGTGGCGCGATTAAATCCCAACCAATCATCAAGAATTCGTTCATTCATTTCTAAACGTCGTTCGTTGTCAATATCTCAAATATTCCTTCGAATAAACTTTTTCAACGATAATTGCTGTGGAGTATCAATTTGCTCTTCCGAATCAAAAATATTTTTCAAAAACAGGAATGACTCATGCGATATTTGTCGCTACTTATCCATCTCCTTCTTTTACCAGTTGTAAATACTGGTTCTTTTTTGAATCATGCTCGAAGAGATGAAGCACGAGGTAGTTTTCATTTTCGAGATCCCACTACTTCCAGCTTTTATCATTGTGAACTTTACGCTCACTTCTTTCTATCTTTCTTCCTTAGCCCATTAATCTAAACAAGTACATCGGTTCGTTGTAACTAATGAAGAATTCAGGTAAATCAATAGGATAAATCTAAAATCAAAAGAAACATACCAGGTGAGCCATATTTGGCATTAGAGATTAACACGGCTCTCCATGAAGGTGCTGTCTGAAATTTGCCAAAGTTGGCAGCTTTGACCTTTCACCTTCAACATGTACCATATTCGCTGAAAAGCACTACAACTATGTTGTAATTTACCGATACTAAAAATCTAAACGGACGTTAGAAGGACATATTCAATGCGTACGATTTATTCGATATTCTACACGGTAAGGATGAAAAGAATATGTCTAAAATGGCTAGTTTGTTGGGACA